GAGGTTCATGCTCTGATTTTAGCCAAGTCTTTTGGCATAGATCCCACGACAGAGTCTTTAATGTGGGGGCCAAGGACCAAACTGACCAAGGGCCAAGGGCTTTGGTTTCAGCAATATGTTTATACCAACTTGCCTTTAGTATGGAGAAAATCTACAGGGCTCTGGTGGGAGTGAGGCTGCTGAGCCCATGGGCACCTGTATTGGGCTTGCCCCATCTTGGTCTCTTAAGGACTAGATTTGCCAAGTCCTACAGCCTCTCTGCGCCTGGGGCTTGGGGAGGAGTGGGCTGGATGGAGTAAAGGCTTCCTCTCCAGCTCTGATCCACGGGCCTCATGGGAGAGCCCTGGTCCCACGGTCTACCAGACTTTCACTGCTCCTTTCAGCAGAATCTGTCAATGTCATTCTGCTCTGGTGACGCTAACAATGACCTGATCACAGTGGAGATGGTCCTGATGCCTACTGCTCCATGCTCTGCTGGGAGCTGGGCTTAGAGGTTCTCCAGTGCTGTCTAATAGAACTTTCTGTGATGGCGGAAACAGTCTCTAGTTATGTTGTCTAATACAGTAGTCTCTTAACTACCTAGAGATATTGAGTACTTGAAATGTGAATCGTGAGACTGAGAAACAAAATTTTAATTAAATGAATTAATTTAAATAGCCTCACCTGTTTAGTCAGTGTCTGTTGTCTTGAACAGCAACAGCCCTTTAGGCATTATGGTCACTGGGTCCTCATCACAATCCTGTGAAGCACTAGTGCCCTCCTTATTTATAAAAGGAAACTGAGGCTTCATGGAGCTAAGTCACTTGTAGAACTGGCTCAAGTCTGTCTGATCTTCAAAGCTGTTCCTTTAACAGCTGTCACAGCCTGCCTGGTGTGTGACCCTCAGATCTGCTTCTGGTGGGTTAGGCAGAGAGAGGGCGAGGACATAGTTTCTCCAGACATGGGGAGGACAGTGATAACTTCCTAACCCCTAGGCCCCACCACCTGCTGGTTGTTGAGGTGAGAGTTGATTTACATGAAGTGGCTCAAGCATCTGCAAGAAAACCTCTCAACCCTGATCTCTTGGGAGGTTTGTTCCTGGTCACACAGGGCGGTCACCTCTCTCTGGGTGTTCGACTCTGTTCAGATCCCACTGTCACGTACTGTGGCCAGGGCCCTACGGAATGTTTTCCTTGGCAGACAGTACTTTGTTTTCACACTTTTCTGTGGGAACATTAAGTCAGGGAGTTCAGTCACAGAGGAGCGTTTTGAACAGGTGAGAAACTTCAAACTATCAAAACTTCAAACTAGTTGCCACTAGCTGCCGACACTGGAACCCTTAAAACCTGTCGCCTGGGTGGCTTCCTTCAACTGTTTTCCTTTGTTTGAAAGCTTCTGCAGGCAGCACGGAATCTGCCTCAGGGAAAATACAGTGTGCCAGTCCTCAGCCTGCATTTCTATGGCTTTACTGTCTTGGGAAATTCTTTTCCCATTTGTTTCCTGATGTAGTTGGGTACCAGCAGGGTTTTATTGAAGGGAGACATAAAATACAATCTAGGGTTCATCTGAAGCGCAAATGTTTAAGGACAGTTTTCACTACCTTTGGCTATCTCTGACTAGTTATTTGTTTTAGCTTTTTTTTCTGGACCTCATATTTTAGTGTGAGGCGTCCTTTGAGGTTCTCTGGAAACCTAGACTACTGTTCTTCAGGATGACAGTATTTTAGAATGAACTCCCTCTTTTGAGACTATAATCTTGGGCTACCTTGGGTTTTCTTTCTAAAGCCATGAAAGACAAGGCCTCATTCAAGGTATGTCAGTTTTATTGACCAGAATGTGTGCGTCAGTTCCCCCAAAGCTGGGGCGGGTCTTAAGATCAGGGATGGAATGTTCTGCTTTCTCTGTAGAGACTGTTTCTGGTCTAGTGGGAATTAATGACTTAGAACATTCTCCTAGATACTGCAAATACGACAGGTATAAGGTGTGGTCCTGCCCACAGTGAGCTTATGAGCAAGCTCATGTGATGCAGAAACGGAGATGGGAGGACTGGAGAGCCTGTGCTTGAGAGAAGCTGGGCCCGTGCAGATGGGAAGCCTGACTTCCAAAGCGCAATAGCCAATTTAAACCACCAAAGAACGACGTGGATTGCCATTTACCGCTACATAAAACACGTCTGTGGGCTGAATGCCCCATGATTTGGGGGGAAACTGAGGTAAAGAGGTGGTTATCGCTTGCAGGGCTGTGCCTCCCCACAGAAAGTCAGCTTTTCCAAACTATAAAACTGTCTTGGCTGTTTCCACAGACCCCACGGTGGGCCCACAGGAAGGACCCCTTAAGAGTCTGAGTCAGGGCAACCAGCCTGGAAATGACCCTGACCTTTCTCTGGCAAAAGGTGTACCTGCAGGGGGAAGGAGCCAACACCACCTTTCCTGGAAACCAAAGAGCTTAGTGACTTCAGGTGACTTTTGTGAAGCTGAGGTCATGTGCCCTCCAGGGCAGTAGCTAAAAACATGGGTTTTGGGGCTGGAATTGATCAGACTGATTCCCAGCTCTACCACTTACTAGCTCTGGGGCTCTGGGCAAGTTGCTTAACTTCCTGAGCCAGCTCGGTTTTCTCATTTATGCAATAAGGGCGAGTCCACACTTGAGAGGGGAGCTGTGAGGATTCCGTGAGCCACTGTATGTGGAGTGCTGCGGACCATGCCTGGCTCTAGCTACAGCTTTTATTGAGAAATTACTATATAGTGATATTTATAATGTGAATGGACAAGATGCAGCCAGTCAGTCATCCTGATGATCAAAATGTAATGGTGTATTAATGTGATGGACAAATATGTCCCTGAACCAAGAGCAGGGCTTGGGATCCAGACTGAGAAGGACAAGAAAAGGCTCTCACCGGCAATGGGGGGCTTGGCCACAGATGAGGTTATTGCTTTGGCTCATCTGCTGACCCACACTGGAGGCAGCCTGCTCTCAGAAAGTTTACACCAGCCCCCTGATCTAGAGGGGAGGGCATCTGAGGAGAAAAAAAACTGAGCTTTGGACACAGTTTATCAGAACTCAGCCAAGACATGCCCTCTCTCTCCAAAAAGGATCTTCGCAATTCACAGCCAGGCGTAGCCCCCTGAGGTCCCAGCACTGGGTGCTGCCGGCGGGGGAGAATGCCTTCCGCCCGCTGTACTGGGAGCTTTCCTGAGATCTGGGCCGGCAGGCAATACTTCCTCCGGGGCCAGTGTTTTTCCGCAATAACCTCAGGCTGCTAACAACTACCTCATCAGTCCCCCAGGGCCCCTATGTATATTTTAAAAAGAATGATAATAATGAATAATGATGGTGACTATTATCATCATTGTGCTTTGTATTTATGGGGTGGGAAGGCGTCTTAGCTCTGCAGACATGACCAGGGAGTGGCACATAGTCCTTCCTCCAGGAGGAAGGTGGCCAGTGTGCCTCTCCAGGTGAGGCTCAGAGGCACCCCAAGGGGCTGCTCAGGCTCACACAGACACACCTCAGGAAGGAGGAAGCCCAACCCACCACCACGTACTGCCACAAGCTCTCCTGGTCCCCAATTTCTCTTGGGCTAATGTATTTGATATTCTTAAGCATCGTGGTTACGGACTCGGCTTCTGGAGCCTGTCTGGGTTTTAATGTAAATGTTGGTATATAACCTGGGCACAGCCTCTCTGTGCCTACATCATGAGATCATTATGAAGATTATGTAAGTTAAGCATGGATTGTGTTTGGAATAGCAACTGGCATGAGCAAAAGCTCAATAAACGTTAGCTTTTATTAACACAGTATTATTTACTGGTACTATCAGGTTGGACCCCATGAAACTGCGAACTTTCAACCATTTCTGACCTATAAAATGGCAACTTCATATAGAGGGTTGGTTCCTAATGGGGGCAGCGGGTGATTTTGCCCCTCCCCCCAGGACATTTGGCACTATCCAGAGACATATTTGACTATCAAGACTATGGGGTGGTGGTGCTACTGGCGTCTGGTAGGTAGAGGCCAGGGATGCTGCTAACATTCTTCAATGCTCAGGTTGGTCCCTATAACAAAGGATTATCTAGCCCCAAATGTCAATAGTGCCGATGTTCAGTACAGGGCCACCTAACATTTTCTAGTGTGGACAGATTAATTTTCTTAAAACATCGCTTTCCAAAGCCAACATGGGTCCCACTGCCTGTAGAATAAAGGCTCGCTCCCAGTGGGCTCTGGCCTCCCCTTTGGTTTCAATCTCGTGCCCTTCCTGCTGTGGCCACACTGACAGGTAATAGCAGGTCTCTGACACCCAGGCCTGGAATAACCCCTCTGTGCTCCCCACCAGCCAAACCTCAGTGCCTGCTCTGGGAAGCTTTCTCCAAGGGACTTTCTTCCCCAGTCTGGCCGGCCATGGCTGGTGGCTCTCAACTAATGTGACTCCCTGGTCCCATTCCTGCAGATTCTGATTCGCGGGATTGGGGTGGGCCCAGGTACACCTTAAGAAGCCACTGCAGGGGGCTTATGCTCAGCCTGGTGTGGAAACCACTGTGCCCCAGCAGGCATCTTTGTTTCTAAGCTGCTCCTGGATCTGTTGCCACTTGTGTACACTAACCCTTTGCATACACTTCTGCTTATTCTATTAGCTGCATGTAAATGTGCTGCAGGGCAGAGAGGCTTCATCTTAGAGACTCTTGCTACGCTAAGGATCCAACTCAGTGCTTTGCCTAACAGACATTCTAAGTAGTGAATTAAACTTGAATCCAGGAATTTTCAGACTTTGCTGAACCCAGTAGTTATCTGAGATGCGTGTTAAAATGCAGATCTCCAGGCGCCAGGCCCCCATGGGTTCTGCCTCAGTGACTCTGGGTTGGGGCCCTGGAACCTGGATTTTTCACCAGCTGGGTTTTGAACCTCCAACACATAAGGCTCCAGGAGTCTCGGGGGCTCCTGGCATGCCTTGTGGAGGTAAATGTTCTTTTCATTGGCTGCTGGGCTGCCCCTCCCCAGAACCCCAGGACACCAGGGGATACTTACACACATGCTGGCTTGTCCTCCTGCACCAAAAACCTGCAGGTTCCATGGAAGCAGAACTGACTGTGGGAATCCGGACATTCATTAAAATAAGACACCACAGCTGCGGCCATGGGTGGATTTGCTGAGGAGAGAAAAGACATTTGGCTCAGATCCACAGCCCAGGAGGATGTACCTACTGCCCTAACGGCTGGGATTTCTGGTCCCTGCAGGGTCCCCTCCACGGCTCTCACTTACTTCCTCCTGGCCAGCCCAGGACTAGTGACTCCTACACTGAGTGCTTTCCAGCAGGGCTTTATTTATTTATTTACCTTCGTAGAAAACAAAACAACCTCTCTACAAGATTCCATGTGAGTCAGAGATACCAGAGCCGTTTTACTATTTAAAGCCGACTATCCCAAAGTGACCTAATTTTGCTTTTTTGCAAACTGATGGTGACTTTTTTAAAAAAGGTGTATTTCAAAACAGATTTTTATGAAGGCTAAGAAAGCAGAAGAGTACTGTATAACCATTAAACTGATGCTTTTGCATTAATGATGTAAAAAGATGTTCATGAGATATTACTGAAAATTAGATACATTTCCAAGGTGATCTGTTATGGTATGATTCTACTGCAACAAACATGGAGGAGTCTGGGAAGGCTGTATGTGAAGATGGGAGCAGGGCTCCTCTGGCGTGGTGGGCATGGCACGGCGAGGCCATGGAGATGACTTGAGGCACAGAAGTCCAACTGAGAGCAGCACAGAGAGTATTGGGAAAGCTTTGGGGCGAGGAAAGGCAACAGAGTCGGGGGACAGAGACCAGTCCTACTCATGGCCCTGCCACTTGCAACTCTCAAGAGCCAGGAGCACTGCCAAACCTCTCAGGGTTTTCCATCCTTGGCTTTCAGACAGGAACACAAATAGCCAACCAGGAGCATTGTAAGAAAAAATACACAAAGAGACCTGTGGAGCAGCTCAAAGGCCATCACTTTGGATTTATTTAATTAAATTCCAATAGCCTCGTTTTGTCCAAATAACACCTGAGACCCAGTCGGTAGCTATTTCAAGATGGCATGGTAGATGTAGTGTCCGTTGCTTCTTTCTAAAGGTCCTCTTATGCTTTGTTTTAGTTATTTGGGGGAATGGGTCTTTCCCACTAATTTTTTGGGGAGGAAAGATGTTCTTGGAGCTCTTGCTCTTTGAGAAAAGGCAGACCATCTCAGATTGTGGGGTTCCAGGCTACCACTGAATATTATATTCACGCTTATGTAGTGTGAATACAGTGTAGTACTCAAACTGCCTGCTACATATCACTCAGCTGTTAGTGTTGCTATTACCATCACTGAAAATCCAAGATGCTAATAAAGTCTCACATGTGGTAAGACCACTATAGTACATCATCTCCCCCTCCCTCCATAAATTCAGTACAGTGTGACTAAAAGTCCAAGTGTCCCCGTTAGCCCTTAATGACAGCTACTTTCACTTGTGAGGACAAACAGGAAACCCAAAGCCAGGTGGAAATGGCCACACAGGGCTGCTGCCAGCCTTGCTCCTCCTGGCCGCAGCGTGACCCTGACCAGCAGCAGTCTCCAGGACACGGGGTCCAGCCGCCTTGCTGCCCAGCTGCTTTGGCTATGAGTCCCAGGCCTGGGGGGTTGATGAACAGGCTGGTCACCGGCTGACAGGAGACCCTGGAAGGGTCTGCTCTAATTCACAAAACTGGCTCCTCTGTGCTCACTGACCTTGTCAAGAAGTGAACATGGGAAGATGAAGGGGCTAGAGACTAGTGGATCTGATTAGATTTAGGCTTTGAAAAAGGCTTTTGATAAGCTCTACAAAAGGCCATTTAGACAACCAACTCCAAGTAGCCAGAGGGAGTCCCTTGTCAGGGCTTAGGGCTGGGCTGTTCAACGTGTGGCTTTTGGACCAGCAGCTTCACATTCCTGAAGCTAGCTAGGAGGCCAAGTTTATGGCCCCACACTAGACCTACTGAATTAGGATCTGTGGGGTAGGGCCCAGGTGTGACATGCTCTCCTGATGATTTTTTTAAAAGTCACGTTTGAGGTAGATTTCATATACAGTACCGTTTGCCCTCTGGGAAATTCATTAGTGTTTGAGACATTGGCTTGTATTACACAGGAAACAACAATAAAAAAAAAAAAAAGAGCAGAGACAAAAGGCCTCTTAGAGATGGAATATGACAGGGGTCCCAAAAGGGATCACACAGAAATTCAAACTCCTGTGTGATACTAAAGCCAGAAATCTGCTGAAGTTCTTTTGTGGTAAAGTGTCAGGTCAATAGAAATACTGAAAGAAAAACTCTGGATCTGTCTTTCAGGAACAATACCCTCCAAAAATGGTGAGGAGTAGATTTATATTTTGTCTCTTCTCATAAATGACTTAAGGAGGCTTGATAAAAATGGGTGTCATAAAAAGGGGACACAAATGGAAAAGATTTTGTGTATGTGTGTGTGAGAGAGAGAGAGAGAGAGGAAGAGAGATGGGGAGGGAGGGAGAAGAGACACACACTGGAAGGGAAAAAAGGAAGGAGGGAGAGAGATACGGAGGGGGAGAGAGAGAAGCAGGGGAGGGGAGGAAGGGGCAGAGAGGAAGAAACAGACAAACAGGTAGTGAGAAAGGAAGAGAGATATCTGGGCAAAGGAAAATAAAGCTCTATTCGGGTTGAAAAGAACAAAGAAGTCAGTTATCAGTTTATAGTCAAAGACTAGCATCAGAAAAGTCACATGCATGCGTCAAAGCTGAGTGGCAGATCTGGCTCTATGACCCCTAGCAGTCTAAGACAGGATGCACACAGTTCATTAGATAGAAATGTACCCATTTTGTACATGGAGGACAGGCTCAGCTTTCCCCCAAGTCAGAGAGCAGCTTCTCTTCTGCAGCTGCTTCTGAAGAGGGCTTCATGTGCTGCAGTGGAGTACATCCTTCACATTCCCCCAAAGACAATGCAGAAGCATCTGCCAATGGAAACAGTTTCTGTCCTCCACACGGCTCACTAACAAGCCAAAGAGCCCAGTCACTGAGAAAACTCCATGCCACAGTCACAGCAACGACAGATAAAGGGTGCTGATTTTGCTCTCTGCAGTCAAGACTAGGTGAGGACAGGAGCTCCTGGTCCTCTACAAGCTCATCTTTGTGATATAACCAAAAGTACTGAGGAGAAACCAAAGACACTTGATGCTATGTGATTATCAAGATTACTAAAAGACTTTATTTTTAAAATATTTTTCCTGGTGACAAAAATGACACCAGGAAACTTTTGTAAATGACAATATAGAATAAAAAACATCTTAGAGAATAAAATTCATATCTAATCTACCACTTAGAACTATGTAAATACACAATGCATACACTCATGTAAACTTAACTGTTTCTATTCTGTTACATGTGTTTTCCTCCCCTGATATAACCACAAACATCTTAAAAGTGAGCATTTAGTTCAAGACTCTGCAAAGGGTGCAGTCCTGGCCTCGAACCCCGAGCAGTTCAATGTGTGTAATGTGAGGGGTTATGTCCTGTTTCGAACAGCACATTCTGCAGCTTCGGGGAATGTGATTTGCACATGAGAAGTGGACAGGGAGGAGGGGACCCATAACAGTTCCAAGGGTGAGCCACATTCTGGCCCTCTGCTCCGACTGTGCTACCTCAGCGTGAGCCAGCCACAGACAAGGCGTGACAAGGGGCTTTTCTGCCCTTAGTGGACCTGGGTAGCCTCATGGACTAAAGCCCCTAAAAGGGCTTTGCAAAGCATGCTACAATGCTCTCATTGGGAGCAATTGTTCTTGCTTTATGGCTTTTAAAGGCGTTTGTCTCAGATACCACTAGAATCGGCAAAGGAAACACACGTCACAGCATGATCAGGCCAGGCCGACAAAACCATCCCTATGGATGTTCTCAGAAGCTTCACCAAGTCCCGGAGGAAAGGGGCTCTGAGGACAGTCGGGGAGGGAAGGGAGAAGAGCAGTTACCACCCTCTGAGTGCCAGGTGCTATCCTCATAGCATCTCATGAATCCAGGCAGGGTGGATGGTCACAACAGGTGGGGGATTTGCTCAGTAACTTAGGTAAAAATGACCTTTACAATGAAATCCACAAATTCCCAGCATCTTCCCAGAGAATGTGTCTCTCAGCCTCTGTCTCTTTTTCCCTCCCACGCCCCTCTATTTTCTCTACCTTCCTCCACTCTTTCCCGCTCTTCCTCTTAATTTTGTTTTCTCAAAACTCAAGGAATTTCAAGTGAAGCAAGGAAAGGCCTAGACACTTAAAAGGGGAAAAAAACCCCACTCACTTAGAAAGGGAAGGCACTGAAGGTCAACTGGAAAACTCTGAGGAGGTCCCCATGGAGCCCAGATCGAGGGCAGAGGGCTGACCCCATTTCCCAGGGCTTGGGGCCCTGCACTCGCCTCCTCCAGGCACGAGTCTGATCAGCACTCAGGGCTGATTGGAAAATCAAATGTCCTGGTTTCAGAGCAGACTTCACATCAAACCCATCGGCAGCTGGAGTTTCAAAGCTGCTCAGTTCCTGTTGCTCTGAAATTTACAAGAGGCCTCTCCAACATGTTAACTTAACGTACATCTTACAGACACCACTGTCATCCAGGGAAGCTGCGAAGCTTTACCTGGAGACCACAGACCCACTATCAGGGCCTGCAGCCCAGCTTCACTCATGGGAAGAGGGTCTGGAATAGCAATCGAGGGGCATGTAAACCATGGATTCAATTCACAGGAGGGGTCTCTCCAGTTCAGACGGGCTGGAGAGGCAGCTGTCTGGACAGCTCCTTCTGACGGCCTTGCTCCCTGGAGAATGGTATCTGCACCACAAGTACAACCACCCCCTATTTAAAGCAGCCCAAACTGGACTTTCTGCTGGGCTGGTGGATGGGGGCCAGCTGAGGCTGCACCTCTTCACGCTCGTCTCCAGATGTCAGAAGTTTGTGAACACGGTCGCCCGATAGGAAGCTTACATCATTTATAGCCATTTCATTACTTCCTCAAATATCATGGCTAACTTTCTGACAATTTAATACGACCTTGGCTTTTTAGTAGGAACTTTCAGCCAAGGTTTTTGACCTGGGACTAAATATTTTCTCTTAGATGTTACAATGGCAAGGCCAACTAATGTTTCTGGAATGTCTAGGAGGAAAGGCAGTGGATAATTAAATGAAGATGGGAGGTAGCAAGCAGCCGCTGGCGATGCCGAGGGAGTGTACGCAGCTGACATCTGCACCCTGATGCTCCCAGGTGCCAAGGGGCCATTCTAGGGCTGCGCTAGGGTCACATATGGTTCCAGCCGCAGTTCTGGGACAGGGAAAGCTTGCTTCAGGCCACCAGCGGCCCATTTTACAGGGATGGAACTCTAAGCTCACATGAGACAATGCACAAACCCCCACCATTAGCCAGCGTGTGAAGAAAAGGCAGGTATAAAGGGGATAACACACGGTGGCAGAAGTGATAAGCCAGAACTTAAAGAAATCAGTGGTATAGAACACAGGAGCCTCTTTAGATAGAAATTGATGAGCAGGGGTCCCAGGCATTTTTTTCAGGGCAGGGGGGATGATAATAAGAACTCTGAGAAGTTTTATAAATGATCCTGAAGAGGAAGAGCATTGTCAGTATCGAGTGTGGCAACATTGTTGACCTTCACCCCAGAGAGGAATGCCCGCCAAGGAAGCTAATCAATAAGGGCATTTCCCGGGGCTGTTTGAGAGGCCAGAGAGCAAGGAAGCAGTTTTCAAATGAGCAGTGGAAGTCAGCAGAGAGCAGAAAAGTGATCCCAGTTACATTTATAGCACGCGTAGGAAGCTCATCTTGCTCTCAAGGATTACGGATCAACATGGAGAACTCGATTTTGCTGTTTTGGGGAAGTGTGTTCAGTGGCAGAATGAGATAAATATAATCACTCTACTCATTCACTATTAAAACCAAGAATCATGAGTACTTTAAAAAGAATAGATATAAAGCAATTTGAAAACCACTTGGCTTCACAGTCCCACCATTTAAGAGAGAAGGGACATCCCCCGCCGTGAAGCAATGGAAGACAAACTTGAAGGAGTGCTGCAGCTCCCCCTGCCCTTCCTCTCGACGGGGGTAGGGAGGGTAGTGCCATTTTTGTTGCTACGATCCTCCACCTCAAGATTTTCAATTTCCTGAGAGTAACTCCTATACTTTAAAAATATATATTTTTCTCATAACCTGATCCCTGAACCTAGAGTCTCTAATTCCTCAGCAACCTTTTCCAATACTGGCTAATTATGACCCTGTTTGACCTCAACATTTCCCTGATCTTAAACTGGCTTTAGACCCTACCCATCCCTCTACCCTCATTTATATGCATGGATTCTGTATTATCTCAATAAACCTCTAACCACCCTATGGGGCAAGCATTACCAGTTTCTACTTTTTAGATGAGCAAACAAAACTAAAGCTTAGGTAGCCTTGTCAACAGACATGTAACGAGAAAGTACTAGCATTGGAATTTTATCCCAGTTCTCTCTGATTTTAAGAGAATAAAGAGCTGTAGAGAATTAGGATGCTATTCAGGTCTGGGAAGAGAAGAGATAGGAAGGGATGTAATTAAATGTACATATCATGTGGCAGCAAGGAAGGGGAACACTTGTAGGGAGCTTCTAGTAATCAGGAAGGGGCAAGTAGAGAGGAAGTATTTATCTGGGGGAGGAGTGGGGAACTGTACATATGGAACTTATTATTACCACAGGGAGCTGTGGCTGCAAAACAGAAATAGATGACAAAGAGATTTTTAGATGTCTACGGATGACGGTTAATTGAGCAGTAGCTGGAAAGAAGTAGGGTGGTCACTGCCCCACAGAGTCTACCCTAGCAGAGCCCCAACCTCTGGGCCAGATGGCCCTCACACCCAAGGGACTGGGAGCTTCTGGCTCACAGCAGTGCTCAAATGGACTCCTGAATTGCTTTTGCAGCAGTAAACAAGATGCTGGGGGAACCTAAGAGAACATATAAGTTAGTTTAATTTTCTCTGGTCATTTCTCTTTGGATAAAACCCAAAGGACATCAGTTGTTAGGGAATGAAATTGAAAGAAAGGTATCATTATAGAAGAAGACAACATATTTTCTACTTTCCTACAAGGGTATTGGTTATCAGTAACACAGCATGAGTGTGAGATGGAGAAACAGATACACATTCAGAGAGAAAGTCACCAGTGGTGGTTGACCCCAGTCGCGTTCATCCTGGTTGTGCTTATTTCGAAGGCAAAGGCAGAATTTGCATCACTTTTGGTACCTTTTTCTAGTCCCACAGGTAGAATAGAATCAGACAGCATGAACATAGAAATACTTACTAGGTTCACATTCCACCTAAAGTACTTGGACTGAGAGTTTTTAACCCAATGTGGATTTTCTGAGGTTCCGGGCTATGATGATGCTGAATGATGATGACTTATTAATAGTAGCCACTATTAATAAATTGTCTACCAGCTGCAAGCACTATACCCAGCATTTTATATAAAGAATTCTACCTAATCCTCACAAAAATCCTGTGAGGTAGTCATTACTTTTCTAGTCTTATTACAGATGACGGAACTAAGGCCCAGGGAGGTTAAGGCTGTTCAATGTTGGCAGAACTGAAACCAGAACTCATGGTTGCCTATCTCTAAAGATGTTTCTCTTTCTAATACATCACATTGTCACTTCAGAGGAGGTGTGTGTGTGTGTGTGTGTGTGTGTGTGTGTGAGAGAGAGAATATGAATATGAATGAATGAATAAATTGAGGGTAAAGAAATCCTGATGACACCTTCCACAGTTAAGACAACTCTTCGGTTTGAAGAATAAACAAATCAGAAATTACCAGGAAATTCTCAGGACTATTTTAGAATTAAGAGCTGAAAGTCCTGAGGCAAAATGCCTTTGATTATTAAAGAGACTTTAGAAATCTAAAATAAATCATGTGAAGTATGGGATAAAACCAGAGTCTGGGCATATTCACCTAAAGATGCAAAGCATGGATATTTCAACTTGGCTTTTTACCTGTAGCCAGATCCCACCAGTAACATTACTTCCTCCTGCAAAGGGCATGAGGAAGGGAGAGGCAAGTGTGAAATACCCCAGGGAGCCCCCAGACTGCATTTAAGATCCATTATGGGTTAAAATGAAATGGAAATAGAAGGGAAATGCACTAGACATGGGTGATTACCTCCTCCCCACTGGGCTCCTCTTCCTCTTCACAAACTGTCCTTCAGCCCCCAGGTCGTACGTACCTTCTATGGCTGCCTTGGCCTTAGTAATTTCAAGCGAAAAACCAATTAAGAAAATTGCATGTCATGATTTTGCTTTGAAGACTGAATGCCAAATCTCCTTTCTCTTTTATTATTTAATAATTTCATTTCAAAGAGACAGAACATTTCTTTCTTTGTTGTCTTCAAACCAGAAAGCCCCTTATTCTAATTACATCCTTTTGGGTGTCAACCAGTATTTTGAAAATAATTCACTTCAAATTTCTATTTACAAAGTAAACAAAGATATTTCTGTTTGGCTCTCATTAGCCGGCATTGAACCAGAACGTGAATGGTCCTGGGAACTGGAGCCAAGTCTTGCTGGATGGGGAATTCTGTTTTGGCTTTGTTGGAGGGAGAACCCCGTTGGAGCCCAGGGCTACCTGGCTTTGCAAGACTCTTTGTCTCTGTTCTCTCTCTCTCTCTTTTTTTATTAATATCAAAATTGTTAGGTAAAGTGGTTGGCAGGAAACCCTCGATTTACCCTTAGGAAAAAATGCTTCCTCTTGTTGAGTCTTTGAACCATAATCCCTTCAAACGCTCTACACTAAATACTTGTAAGCACTACAATTGTTTTTCTAGAACATTCTGTGCCCTCAGAACTTCTGACAGATGCCTTTTTCATTTTCAGTCTGCAGATACAGTCTGGATGAATGAAGGATACTTTTCATTTTAAGCAAAGAAACCAAGGCATCCAGCGGTAAATTTATGGCAAAGCTCAAAAGCCTTAAAGACATCGATGTGAATTTGTGTCTGAGAATTTGTTCCATGACAAAAAACATGACTCTTCCTTTTTCATCTGAGTTTTATATAGATGACTTTTGGTTGCATGTAGATAAAAGCCCATCAATTGAGAGTATCTTCCAGAAGAAAAGCATGAAGATATTAAGAGTGTGGTGGGGTTATGGGCAATCATTTTTCATATATAATTTCCCAAATGTTATAAAACAAACATTTTAGAGATGGAAAATAAACATTATTTAAAATTAAAATCCCACAACATTGTAAACATGATTAATGTTTACACAACTTTATTTTTTTATTGCTTTACTCACAAATAGAACTGTAATTTTACAAAAGGCTGGTCTTTTAGGAATCTAGCTTTAAATCTGCCCTAAGATAAATCATTCTACTGTCTTGTCTTTGTAATGATGATGATACAAGGAGTTGCTGGAAAAGATTCATTATACAAGAACATTCTTGAGGAATTCCAATGACTTTCTCTACTCCTAAGATATGGAGGAAGGTGCTGGATAATCTCTAATTTGTGTCTTCAAGACTGAAGCTGGCATTGCATCTATAAAATGACAGCAGGGAGCTCTGAGTAAGCAGCTGCAAGGAGATGAAAAAATATGGCAACCGATTTTGAATGGACCGTTGAGCAACAGATTGGATATTACAGTAAGTCAAATCAGTAAAAT